AATTGCTTTTTCCTTCTTCTTTAAGTGAAGTCAGCTTTGCTCATTGGACATGGGTTAAAATGCATTATATTTGCTCAGAGGAGAACGAGTAAAGATGATGCAACATGAATGTTTGCAGATGATGTGTTGACGAGAGTAGAATAGTCAAATGCACACATAATTCTTGATGAAGACATAAAGCACAGCCTTCTTTTAAACAACTTCCTTACTAAATGTGAATTCTGATGATCAGTGTTTTGAAATAAACCCATAAAATCTAAATGCTCAATCATCAATAATGCTGCAATTTATTTATTTATTTATCTTTTAGTTGGAAAGGGACAGTGTACATTAAAGGAAGAATGTGCAATATTTTAAACAAATCCATCAGAAGTGCGTTCAAATTTGATAACTCCTTTGTGCAAAGGCGAGGGGAGAGGGGTGCGAGGTGTGTCGCTGGAGGCGAGTGGAGGAATCAGTGTGGCCAAGGCGTGGCCAAACAGTAGTTTGTTTTGGTTTCATGCTGGTGCTCAGGACGACATCTACTGGATCAAAAAGTTGCATATTCTTCCGTTAACCAACATTCAGAAATGTTTTTATTTACCTGAGTTAGTCAAAAGGCAGATTTTTCATCAGCAATCTTTGCCAGATGTTCTTTGGCATCTTGGAATTAAATATGAGCATATGTTCGACAGTAAAAGAAAAACACAGACATATGCAATACAATTAAATAACAAGAACAGATTGAATTAAATTATTTTATTTGTAAAGGGACCACGTACAAGATAATATCCTATATTGGACATGATACAGTTACCATGGAGAAGTACATTTCTTACATTGAAATAAATGATAGGGTGGTGGGTGATTATTGAGACTGGTGGGGCCCTAAGCTAAACATGGAGGGGGGGGGGCTCTCCAACCAGCATTCATTGCCATTATGTTAAAAGAAATCTGACACCAATGGCAACTTCAAGTAACCAGCTTTAGGTTTTCACAGGAATATTTGTTATTTAACCTTTATCTAAGCAGAAAAGGTCTCATTGAGATTAAGAATCTCTTTTACAAGCGCATCCTGGCCAAGAGAGGCAGCTGCACAATTTACTGGGTTTCAGACATAAATCACTTAACAACAATTAAAAATAAATAAAGGAATCACAAAGGGTCAGCATTGGCCGTTTCCTTCCTATTTGGTCTTCTTTAGTTTGTATTGAGTTTAGAATGTCTGTATTTGTATACCATTGTCGTTTCTGTATTTCTTTATGTCTAATAATTCTGTTTTAATCCTAAAAAGCCGAGCCAGGGACAGGAGTCTCCTCTCTCGTATTCATAGAGGACATCTGAGGAACAATCACAACATATTGAATTTGTTATCCTGATTAATCAGGTATTCATTTAGGGTTTAAGTGTCCAGAAATTGAAGAAAATTCCAATTAATGCCACAAATGTAAACTCAGTCACCTTGAGCTTGAGAAGTTATAACAACACATCTTCAACTGCGATGATTAGTTTATATTTTAAGACAAATGTAATGAGATAAATGCTCCTTCTATAGTGTGGAAAATTACCTACCTCTTCACACAAGAAATGCTTTAAAACCTTTTTGATTAGATTTTTTAAAATATTGTCACAAAGATGATCAGAAGGCCATTTTCTTTTAAACGAAAAGTTAATGTTTTGGAAACAAATGTTTTCATAGGACATTGAAAACATTCCGATTGTTTTGTTTAAATGATAAAGAATGAGCTTTTTCTTTTTAGCATAGGAGACTCGGAAAAACCCACAAATGCTCTAAAATGTAAAAAGTCTGTACTGGTAAATCTTTGACTATTATGATTTGAAAATGACAGAAAAGATCATTTATAAAGACAGCTGCTTATGATTTTTCTGTCAGACGTCTGATCAATTAATGGATCATTTCATGGCTTATAATTTACATTTTTAATGATGTAGAAATGCCCTGAAAAATCCAACATATCATTGACTTCACTCAGTCAACTATGGAAGCATGCTTGACCTTCAAGATAATTGCTCTTTCTGTGTTAATAACCCAAAATCAGTGTGCAGCATAGAACAGGAAGAAGCAGTGAGAGTTGTGTTTAATATCTACCTGACAACAGACCCTGTCAACACAAGGACGCCTCTCAACTCTTATTAAAGTCTGCTGCAGTGAACTTGTTTTCCTCCTCCTTGGACTCTCTGAGCCAAGGTCACAGCAGAAACAATCCACAGGGTAACCTTGTCAGACTGAAGCCGCATGTGTCCACAGAGTTTCCTTGGATTACTCTAACACCTGGGCTGGCGGCTTTGCTTTCAAACTGTAATAAATCACAACAAAAGTCAGAGAATGGGCGCACTTCTCAGGACATTTGACCTGTTTTCTTTTATAGGTGTTTCTTTTCTTATTATCAGGAACAGCTTATACGTGTAAAAAAAAAAAAAAAGGACAGTCGAGGAAAGTACGAGAAATCAGTTGGAAATTAAGGAAACCCATATGCCTACTCTAAAAAGCTGCTTCATCGTTTTAGAGAATTTATAGAGCCAACATATGTGAATACTGCATGTAGAGCTGCTCATGGCTTTCAAACTTCACACGATGACTTCTAACTTCCATCCTACTGACAGTTTAATGAGGGGAAGTGACTCACTGTCGTCTCGAACAATGAAGGCCATTCTCTACACGCTTCTGCAGAAACGCTTTCTTTAGATTCACATTTCTCAGAACCTCCACTTTATTAATCCTTATTTAGACCCAAAATTCAACGAAAACTAAAAAATAAGGTGAAAATACAAAGCTATTGTTTTTAGATCTGAGTGTATAAATAACGTTAGGTGATGAGTTACACATTAAAAAAATGATGGGCAATGTTAAAAAAAAAGGAGTTGGAAGTTGGCGTTGATGTTAATGTTGAGATAACTGAATCATTTGTGTATATGTCATCTCAACTACTACTTGTGGGTCGGCTGTGGCTCAGTGGTAGAGTCAATTGTCTCTCAACCAAAACTGATGGAAGGTCGGGGGGTTCGATCCCCAGCTCCTGCAGCAACATGTCTGATGTGTCCTCGGGCAAGACACTTAACCCCAAGTTGCTCCTGCTGCTTCATCTGTGAATATGTATGAAAAAGTGAATACTGATGGACACTTTACACAGCAGCCTCTACCATCAGTGTGTGAATGTGTAGTTGTGGCCTGCGGTGTAAAAAGTGCTTTGAGGAGTCAGAAGACGAGAAAATCACTATACAAACTCAAGTCCATTTATTTAACTATATGTATCATAATTTCAAGATTTCCAATTTAGAAAAAGATTTAGTTGAAAATAAGAGCATGATCAAAGGATATAACTTGTAATAAAGTTGACCCAAAATATACTATACGATATGATCACTAATAAACTCAATGCATGAATGAAAATGAAATACTGTGTTGACATAACAGCTCTCTTTTTTTTTGTTTAATGTTTTTATAAATTCAAATTGAAGAGAAATTATTATTAATGAACACAAATTCATCCCAACTTATCATCTCACATTCATCTTCAATTTGTAAGGCAGCCCAGACGCTAACCTCTTTTTAGTTCAAACACTAGTTGTTGTTTTTTTCAAGTGCAACAATACGTTCTACACAAACAAATACAACACAAGTCTGTTATGTTTTGGTCTTTTTCTAGTTTGGTTTTTCAGTGTTTAGTGTTTCATGATTTAGTTTATAGTTGTCCTCTGTGTTTCTTGTATTCCTGTCTGTGTGATTGCCCTGATTGTCCTCACCTGTGTCTTGTTAGTCTCACCTGTGTCTGATTCCCCTGTCTATTTAGTCTCTGTGTTTCTGCCCTTCCGTGTCAGTTCATTGTTGCATGTATGTGGATGTGGTGGTATGTCGTTCCTTGGTCTGTCGGTGTTTGCTCGTGCTTCTCTGTGGCTACCTATTTATTGATCCATGTGAGTTTTGTTGAATCTTAAAAGTAGTATTTATTTGCCTTTTTGTTTATTAAAGACGTTTAGTTCATTCTGCACTTAAGTCCACCTCTACTCGTTGTTTTACTCACCAAACCATAACACAAGTCCATCAATGAAAACAGAAATCCTCATCATCAATAAGGACTGAAAATGTTCCCTCACATACAGTCCTAACAATTGGACCTTAAACGTTGGTTTTTCACTCACTCTCTGTATATGACTGTAAAGAATATCTGCACACACATAGTTTGTCACATAAAGAAACCTGGTGATTCACATTAAATAAACACTGCTCACTTAAACGTTGAAAACACAAGAATTTCAGTATTTTGTGTAATCATTTGGACACTTTTCAGCTTTGTATCACACACACATTCTTATCTGCATCTTAAAGAGGACATATTATCCCCCTTTTCCTATGGGTGGAGATACCAGGGGAGGGGAGGGGATTTTTTTTTTTTTTTTATCAGAATCCCACTTGTGAAATCACAAGGAGAGCAAATTTGGAACTGAGTATTTTCCTCTGTGTTGTAAGACTTATGCAGACCACAAACAAATATATTACCTAAATATATGTTCAAGAGCACTGTAAAAGTGGATGTGTCATAATATGTCCCCTTTAAAAGAAGAATAATCTTTAATAAACAAAAAGTGTATCATTGAAGTATGATGGCAGGATCCAGGATTGTGTTTTTATTTCTTTGGTTTATATTTTGGATTGAGCCTTGCATTTAGTTAATTCATAAGGTTGATTTGAATCTTTTAACAGTAATGCTACATAGTTATTACCAGTCATAAAAGTTCTTCTTTTAGCTCATGTAGTAAATGTAAAATGTCTCTGAGATGGACAACAATGTATTGCCAAACTTTTTTTTACCACTTTCAGATTTTGTATCTAAATTGTTGAATGCACTTAATTGTTAATGCAAAAACAATGTTTGCATTAACTGTAAAATCTATATCAGCAGGAAAAGTAAGAGCTTCTGTGTTTTCCTGCACATATTTGAGGGTGGAGTTCATGAGCTTCGAAGTGCTTCCAGGCTGTTTTGCCAAACAGTGAAATGTCTGGACAGCTGGCGACTCACAGCGCACCGCCTGGCGCCCACAGCACTCCAGGCTGATAAGTACTGTGAGCAGAGGAAGGGGATATTCAGTCAGGGATGAGAGTCGCCATATTCTCAACAACCCAGAGAGCTGTAAAGTTAAATGGAAGAAACACCATCCGGGTGATCTAGAGCAGCAGTAACTTCGCGCACATGGGCGAACATTTGTCCGTTTCAGTGAGTTATTGAGAAAAAAAACAAGTGTGAAAAAGTTAACCAAGCAGTAGAAGAATAACAGGAGGAAACTATGTCTAATTCTGGCTTCTATCAGGGGGACATGCAAAGGTCCTCTGGCATGGCACGAGGACAACGACCACCGGATTTGGAGTTGTCAGAAACGGCGTTTTCCGCGCCTGATCCAGGAAGATCTGCGGGCAACGACGCGTATTTTCAAAGAGACAAAAGTTCTGGGGAAGGCAACACTCCCACGGAGGTGCCTCATGTACACCTCCACCCTTACGTATCCCATCCTCGCATGTCCATGCGGATGTCAGTGTACAGCACCGGGGTGCGTCCAGCCCTCAACCGCGCCTACATCCAAGGACGCGTGTATAACTTTCTGGAAAGGCCGTCTGGCTGGAAATGCTTCTTGTATCACTTCACAGTGTGAGTGTTTTATATTTAATTTTCCTAATCATCCGCATCCATTGGGTATTCAAGGGTATAATTGCAACTCTAAGATGCTAATTAAACAGGGAGTTAATTGCGCATGTAGAGCCTTGGACGCCTTCACTACAAAGAACTGTTAATCCTGTGAATTTGAGAAAGATGCTGCACAGAAATCACAACACAACCAGGGCTCCCTGCAGAAATATTATAAAGATATTTAAGTCAGGCCATAGCAGATTAAAAAAAAAAAGCCATATAATTCATCACAGACAAGAGAATCTGAGACAAAATACGCCCTCCGGGGAGTACTAAAGGGATATTATAAATATCTTTCATTTGGGGAGTGTTTTCCTCAGCTCTGTTGGGTATTTAATTTGCCAGAACAGTGTGAGTGCACCAAGACAGAGGAGTGAACTGTTTTGCATTCCAAGAGGCTAAAACAACAGAGCTTTAAAAACAAATACAGGGCGATGTATAAATGACTTCGGGGACTAACAATTTTTTTTGTGCCAGAACTTGTGGCACAGACTTGTTGACAAGTGTCTGGTGAATAGTTTGAAACACTTTGTTAATGTAAATGCAATTTACAGGTTTCATAAAATATAAAATTAATAAAGTATAGCAGCTCCATCTTCTAAATCCCCTAAATCATGAAGATGTCCTTTAAGGTTCACCAGCTAAATCTGATGTGACTGCTCTGTCAGTTAGCCTGAGTGTCACTTTTGACAAATGAAATGTAACTGATGATAAATTTCTCTCTGTATACAACTGATGTGAAACCAAAGGATGCATTTCACTGTTTCCCTGAATTGGTGTAAGCCTTGTCAGTCAAGTAGATCCAGGCTGGGTGTTCCTGCAGAGGTTTTGGAATGTAGGATATGATCTTCATGTGTGATGTCTGTCCCCACTCGCTGGCACTGATAGCAGGCAGCTAAACTTGGCAGCATGTGTGAGGCTGTGCAGGGGGCAGTGGCCCTGTCTGCCACTGTCACCCTGTGACCCGGCGGTGTCGGAGGGGACGCAGGGGAATGCAGCCTGTCGCAGCAGGTTAGAGTCTCTGTGACTCAAAGGGAGCATGAGCCAACACAGTGCGGCTCAAATAGGTTAAAGCATTACCAAGGATAACAGCAAGATACACGCAAAGAGGGATGCTAGTGGCTACTGTACGAGCAGGAAAGTTCCCTTTTAAGCGTTATATCATCTGACTTCGCATCAGGTACTAACCAGCAAGATCAGGAGAAAGGCCACACTACATGCTGATTCGAAGAAAGCTCACACTGCAGAGAACTACAAGAAACACCGGATGTTTCTTAACATGTTTTTTCAAGAAGTGTCAGCTGTGAATGTCACTTGCCTTGGCGGTAACTCGTGATAATTGGTAAATCTGCTTTGTTGGTATTTTTGAGGAAGAATCACTTCTGTATCTGGGAGCTCTGACTGAAACGTTTCTGTGAAACTCACTGCTCAGCGGGAACGTGTTTGCCCCCCCATGTCATTTTGTTTGGTTTTAATATATTTAGTAACATACCAAATGTAACTACTGATGATCACAATCGCTCATATTTGTCAGGTGTCTGCAGATACTGAGTGGGTGATCGCAGCTTGTAAACACTCTGTGAGAGTGATGCTGCACTTTTGTGATCTTACATTGCGAACTTGTCGAAACATGATGATAGTACATGCCAGAATAACACACATCCACATTTCAAACTGTTTCTGTATTCGCTGACTTTACACAGGCACATTGTTAGAGTTGTACAAAGATGATCTTCACACTTCAAGACAGGAGGTCGCACTAAGTAATGAAGCACATCCTTGAATGTCAAGTGAATGAGAGACAGAGACAGAGAATGTACACAGCAGAAGTTAAATTTAATCTAATTAACTGACAACAGTGTCAAAAGAGCTGTCAAAATCCAGACTTTGAGAACATAACTTTATAAACCTTCAGTCAATAAAACTATTTTTCAATGTGTAAACAGATGTACTTCAGATTGCTGCCCCACTATAACTGACTACTTTGGAAAAAAGGAACATGCAGTTTAAATGATCCAATGCTGTAAACGTTTTTTTTTTATATGCATTTATGTACAACAGTAACCCATGATTACAGGGACTAACACTTTCCATTAGAAAGCCAGATTCATACAGCACAAATACTGCCGACCATGCAGGAGAGACTTTTAAGTCAACAGCACTCGAGGCTCTGGTGGCCGAGTGGTTAGTTTGCTCGCCCCATGTACAGAGGCTATACAGTCCTCAAAGCCAGCGGCTCAGGTTCAAATCCCGCCTGTGGCTCCTTTCCTGCATGTCATTCCCCAGTCTCTATCTCTCCCTGATTTCCTTCTCTATCCACTGTCCTGTCCCTCTAAAAAAGGCACAATACGCCCCCTAAAAATGTGAGTGATTCAAATAAATCATTTTGAACTAGCATAATGTAGACAGACACAACCCAAATCACCTTTCGTCACACGCTTTATAAAATGCCCTTTACACCACCAAATTAGGGCCCTTTGTGGGTTTTCAGGCAGATATTGTCCTTATTTTGGATATTCAAGGACATCACGTTGCATAGACTTGGAGGCGGACACATCTGGCTGTAGATGTTCTGCCTGATATATTCATGAGTGTAGTCTATCTTTACAAATAATTGCAGTTAAAGGCTACTTATTATTTCACGTTCTACATTATGTTTGTAAGTATGGCTGCTAGTTTGTTAGAAACTTTGTTTCAAGAGCGAATGGGCCAAGTTGGGCAGCAGCACAGTAGCAGAGATTTTTAATCCCACTGAGGTTTTCCTGGTTAAATTAAGAAAAACAAAATAAAATAAAGCCAGCTGTTTGTTGTAAGAGCATAATGTTTGGATGTCTGAAAGTCTAAAAGGGTTTTCTGAGGTCAGTCCAGTCAGTTGTTTTTGTATGTTGGAAGTGGAGAAAGATAGTTAGGAACAAGCTTAGCTTTATCACTGACCCAGAACTCCATCCTCAGAGTCAGCCTTATCAGAGGAACCCCACTGTGTTTGCACGTGCAAATGTTTGTCAGCTTGTGTGTGTGTTAGTGTGTGTGTGTGTGTGTGTGTGTATAATGATATAGGATGCTTACCGAGACGAGGGTTAAAAGGAAAGCAATAGTTTTCTTCGCTGGAAAGGAGCATGCTATATATTCAGCTTTATGCGTAAGTAAAGTATGCCTCTGCTCGCACTGGGTGTCTGTGCGAAGAGTAAATGGGGTGTTTTGGTGCGGAGCAGCATGTATCCAGCCCACATGCTGGTTATAAATGAGTCGATCAGGAGAGTTTAGAGAAAATCCAAATCAGCCTTGGCTCCATTAAACCGAACTAGATGTTCTGTCAAACAGTATCAGTCTGGAGGAAGTCAATTCCGACACTATTTTTTACGATACAGCAAACATGTTTTTGAGTTTATGCTCTGGTATTCTTTTCAATTTGAGAAACACGATCTGACTGGAGCTGGTTTGCGCTCTGCTTTATATTTTATCAAGTGCAGTTAAGGCATCTGTGCTTTTTGTCTTTTCCGCTCTCTCAAAAAAAAACACAGGAGCCAGGATTGGTAATGGAACACAGAGACAAGGTCACTCATTGTTGACCTCTACCTAACTGAGCTTTTAACCTCTTGCTAAACCATGTTAGGAATTTGTCGTTGGGAACATCTGTGTTTGTTAAGCCCCTCTATAGACCCTCGTTTGACTTCTGCCTAAAGGCGACTGGTTATGTGTTGGACCACTGACTAAGCTTACATATTCTGTGCTCAAGGATTTGTTGTGGCTTTGCATCACTTTAGTTGGAGTTACTATTTTGTCTTTGTCACTTTAAAGCACTGTGCTTGTTGTTCCAAACGGGAGATTTGATGGTAACAGCCAGTGACATGGTCAGCAGTGTCTCTTTTAACTCTAACTCAGTTCCCTGTTTTGTCTTTACATGCAACACACACTACAAAACAGACTACAAGAGAATCTGTCCATCAATAATAGATAGGGAGCAACGCTTTGAGCTTTTGTTCAGAGTTCAGTGAGGCCTCTGTAGATGAGCCAATGTGGTATTTTATGTGTTGCTACACTGAGCCCACTGGAGGAAAAGGCAGTGAAATATGATGGTGCAGTTAGTATGGAGGGACAGGGGGAGTCAGATCGTCTCAGATGGATTAAAAGTGAAGCTGCAGAGTATGCTCGGCATACTGAGTGTGTATGTTTACAGGCATTTCAAAACGCTCTGAAGTCATCTGAGCAGAGATTCTCTGACAAATTACAACCATTAGCATAACCGAGTGTTTGCTTTGAAAGGTTTGATGTTCGTTTTTGTGTCTTTGATCCTCCTTTTAACTTTATGTTGCATATTTGAGCATATTTATTAGACTGCATCCCGACTTGTAGGCAGTTTTTTGATTGCACACTGCTGTTATTAATGGACAAATGTACCAATTTTAACACCCTGTAGAAATCATTTTAAAGAAGACTCTGACCCCAAACTAAGATATTCCTGCTGCATTGACTGCTTGTTCAGATGTGTCAGACAGACAGGAAGAGCTGCTTTGTTAGCCGTGTTCCAAACCGGTCCATCTCCCCTCAGAAGGTCTCTCTCACCATCTTTTATCTGTGCTGACGTGTCGCGCGCACGTTTAAGCCTGTGCGTGTGTGCGTGTTTGTGTGTGTGAGTTAGTCTGAAGGGGGTTATTTGGATTCCTGGCCAGTGTTCAATAAACTCAGGCTGTAGCATGTTGTGATAAGGGTGCCCATGGTGCAAACACTGACTGGAAACTAGAGCTCCCTCCACACATAGTTTCCATCGCTTGTGCTCATATAGACGAGATAAAACTGACAATCTTGAAGACTGTTTTTTCAAACAAATGTTTAAAATAACACAGAGAAGAAGACTGTAGAGTAAATATATCCACCTACACCGCCCTGCATTAGTTAGGTATGACAATTTAACTTATACTATAGTGTCCCGATTTCAATTTCATGGATCTTTTATTTTGTATGACTGGGAAAAACAAGCAAATCTCTCTTTCTATACATTATAATGAACAAGAATTCTTGTGCATTTCTAGAGAATGTAGAAGTTGACTCTGCCAGCAAACAAAATGCTTATTGGTCATAATTCAAGATCACAATGAGCTTTGCTAACAAGTTCATCAAACTGTTATTGCAAGAACAAAATGTTTTTTTATACTTAATACTTGATGCTTATAATGTGTATCAGAGATCACAAGTAGCATGCTACCGCATAGATTGCAGGGCTGGTCATTTCTGGTAGTAATAAAAAAAAATGTAGCCAACAGAAGTGCAATTATGCCCTGACTTACTGTTTAGTTGTGATACACTTTTAAGAGGCATGACATTAGTCAGGAAGATTGTAATCAGATTTATTTTAAGCAACTTCATGTAGACATTTTTTAAAGTGCGCTTTGGCCAAAGTGCTGCACATTTTAGTGAAATTTTGCAATTGCGGTCATAGTGGACAATATTGGGATTGCGATGTAATAAATGGTATTTTGAGCCTCTAGATGAAACAATTCAACTGCCAAGCATATTTTTTACTGGTCTAAATACATTTGTTTCAGTACATTTAATATAATTATTAATTAACGCCCTCTGAAATGTACTCGCCTTTGGCGCTTGGCTAGTAATTCTGGACTCTCATTGTTACGTTCACATACACACACACTCACATTTATTTTGATTGCAAATTGAAGCCTTTTGAGCGGTTATGTGATTGCACCTCATCCTTTTACGATTGTGATTAGATTAATTGTGCAGCACTAGTTGGCGCCCTCTAAAGGCCTCTGAGTGCAACTGCACTGTTGTAGAACACATTGACTGATTTATATTTATGCAAGTCTGAGCCAAACTGGGGTTAGGGTTACTTTTTCAACTGGTAAAGCTGCTCAACATGAGACAAAGATGACTCCAGTATATCTCTATCTGTAATTGATCATATCTGCAGGAGTGTACACTCCGCTTCCTGCTCTGTCACTCTCTCTCTTTCTCTTCTTAGCTTCAGCGTCAGCGTCCTCTTCCGTCTCTTAGCCTCAGCCATTGTATCAAACAGTACAGAGAGACAGGATAACTTGCTCGTGCCATGAAGCCATACACACTTTTTGGGAGAGATCCGCGGCTCGCTGCCAAACTTACATAGTGCTGTAAACAAGCAATTATGTGATTTGCGGACTTCGAAGGGACGCTAATCTCCCTGTTGGAAGTTGTTGTTCTATAAGATCGACTTTGTAAGTAATACTTCATGGTGGAAAAGTTTAGTATTGATGCCATAAATGAACCAAACTCATTTGTCTTGAAATAAAGAAATTATCTGTGATCACAAAAGGACAGCAGAAAAAAAAAGTTTTGAGTGGCTTCTGCATAACAACTTATACCGTGTGTAAATGGCATTGTCCAAAACCACACATCAAACCACACTAACCTGACAGTTAGTATGCTGTTAGCAACATACTGTATATATGCATGTGTCCCGTCATATCACCATCATCCATCCTGTATTTTCAGGTCCATGCCATGTTGAATTATCTAGCATCTAGCTAGCAGTACCATAACCCACATCCAGAGATTTATTGTGTATGCAAAATTGCCAAACCTTGACTTCAGAACTCACTACATACCCAATGTGAAGTCATTGTTAGTATGAATAGTATGGAAGTATTCAGTTTCAGATGCATCCTATATGTATATGTATACAGATATACAACAGATCCATTGAAAGTCACATTAGATTTCTGAAATTCCATTCAATCAGCTCCATTTGTATCAGTGAGATGTAATATTTGATCCTCTGGTGCTGCCCTACGTTTTGACATAAATACTCTCAGCACATTTTCAATCTAAAGACAAACAAGCTTTTCGGAGCCTCTGTGTTTCTTTTGATCGCATTAGTTGTTGAAGTTTGTCCTTTCATCTGAGTTTGTTCGCCAAATGAACTCAGACGCTGTTAACTTGATTCCATTCAGAAGTTCTGCCCTTCAACGCGCTACGACTCATGCCAGCGGAAATGAAAAGTTAATGAGATTGTCCTTTCGACAATGCCAATGCTTTCGACAAGTCAAATGCACATTCATTCTTAATTTACAAAGATGTTCTGCTAACAGACAAACATAATGAAATGAGGTGAAACGTAACTGCGACTTCAAGGCTGATCGCTGAGGCGATATTACAATAACAAACAAGTAGCAAGGATAAAGGCTGCACAGTGTTGTGAGTTTAAGCTTATGTCATCATCTATACTGCTGGCAAACTGGATTTCTGCATCTGACTTGTATGGACACTGTGAGAAGTGATCGCTCAGGTTTATATTGTTTCCAGGCACTTTATGCAGAAACTACAAGCTCTTCCTTCTTTTTAAATGGTTAAACATACACGCATAAAAACCCTCAAGGTCTTTAATATGACATTTAACATCAACAGTTACTCATGAGTCAAAATGTCAAGGCTATATTAGGGGTAAAAGTGTTCTCTAAGTAGGTAGAAGAGCCACAGACGTTTCATTGTTTCTGCATTTGAAATATATGTGACCTTGAAGGGAAGTACGGAGGAAGTCAAGGAGCATTTAAATTTCCTTGATAGTCTGTGTGGCCTGTGTATGTGTGTGGTTAGAGTGTGTGTGTGTGTGTGTGTGTGCGCGCACGCGAACCTGTCTGCTCATTATTTGGCAAGTTTGTTATGCGCTTTGCATTCACATGGTGGAGTCTAAAAGGTTCACAGAATTTCCTCCGGAGAGCTGTCCTTGAATGTTTGCTGGAATTCACTCAGATGCTTTTCATGACAGAAATATAAATGTAATGTTCTGCTTTCTTGATTTCTGCTTTCAATTTTTTTCAGAAAACCCGACTCAAGCCAGACTCCAAAGTTGTCTGAGGTGGTTTTTTTTTGGTGTTGAAATCAAAGTGGGAGATGTTGACATGAATATGAGGTGGAACACAGAAGAGTGATTTGAAGTGACCCGTGTTTGCCTGAACGTTACGTAAAGCTTTGATTGATGAAATGTGAATTCTCGAGAAATCCTTAGATTGGATGATATTTGTACGCGTAAAACATGAATAAGAATGACGACAATAAAACATAGAGAATAATCACACTTTATTAATAGGTGTTTTTGTCCCCCCACAGGTTTCTCATGGTTCTGGCCTGTCTGATCCTCAGCGTTCTGTCTACCATCCAAGAGTATGAAGCTCTGGCGCACAAAACGCTCTACTGGGTGGTGAGTGTAACATTTGATGAAATTGAAAAGGGATTAGCAATAATATCATTGTTTTACCTCTAATTTGTATCTTAGCGTAATTGGATCTAATTCTATAAGAGGTGTTGGTCTAAACACCAAACATCCCACTGGGTGTAGGGTTTGTGGTGTGATTGATGAAGGTTATGCTGCTGGGAATGTGGTTCAACACATTTAAACTTCTATGGCTATGTCAGAGATGAAATTGTTTTTTGGGTATCCTTCAAAATGAAAGGGTTTTAAAAAGTTGGTCAAAAGGTTGACTTACTTGTTAAAAAAATAAATAAATGCAGTGTGCATTTCCATGCAGCTGCAAGCTTAAGCTTATACCGTAGAGCAGGTTGGACTCCAACAGGCAAAGGTTACATAAAGTTGGACAGAGTGACTCAACCAACATTGATAGCCTTCTTCCTTTTTGAACTCTCCGGGTCTTTATTGCTCTAAAAGGTCAGCTGTAGTAAGCGTTAGTGTTCTGTTCTCATCTGTTGAGCCACTTAGAAAATCCAGGTTTATTTTCTTTTGCTTCCGAGAGCAATGGAAGCAGATGGAACCAGAAGTCCACACTGGTATGTTCCTTTTATTATGAAAGGGAATTTTAAAACAAAAGATATCGTTGTTCAGACGAGTTTTGTAGAACCATTTCAGACCAGACTGTTGCCCATAACTGCCCTGAAAACACTTATCACAGACCCATCCATGTACACTGAGCATGCACCAGCAGATGTTGAAAGGTACAAATAAAACACAGGCAGCATTTAGTGTAGATCTGACAACACCACAGGAAAGAGAATCACATAGTAAAAGCTTGATGCCTTCAGCAACCAAAACAAATACCACAACCACAACCACAAAAAAACAAATAACAAAAACTACAACCACAAACAACAACAACAAAAACAAATAACACAAAAACTACAACCACAACAAACAACAAAAACAAATAACACAAAAACTACAACCACAACAAAAACAAATAACACAAAAACTACAACCACAACAAAAACAAATAACACAAAAATTACAACCACAAACAACAAAAACAAATAACTCAAAAACTACAACCACAACAAAACAAATAACACAAAAACTACAACCACAACAAAAACAAATAACTCAAAAACTACAACCACAAACAACAACAAGAAAAACTACAACCACAAACAACCACAACAAAAACAAATAACACAAAAACTACAACCACAAACAACAACAACAAAAACAAATAACACAAAAACTACAACCACAACAAAAACAAATAAATACCACAATAACAACGGCTATTACCACAACCAAAGCCACAATCATTACAATAACCACGACAACAACACAAATAACAACCACAAAAACCACAACTTCCAAACCAAAAACCACCACAAACACATCCAATAATCACAATGATATCTAAATCATCAACCACAACAATCATAGTGACATCTAAGTGGGAGAGTCAATATTGTATTGAAGAGTTTATGATTTAAAAAAACAAACAAAAAAAAAAAAACCCTTCTGTTTATTAAATGGCTTGTTGTTCATAACCTGCCAAATATTCTCAGATCTATTTCATGTCGTTGATGGTAGCAGGTGAATCTCTGAATTTCATGCAGTTACACACCCAGTGATCTTTTCGATGGTTGATAGTTACATTGCAAGCCAAAGTGAATAAGGCAGCTTTTTTTTTTTAAAAACTCAAAGGTTTCAAAACAGCCTTATAGATGTATTCACATATTTGTTGGGCCTTAAGGATGCACATATTGTTTCTTCACCACAGTGTTTCTTTAATGATCCTGACCATTGGTCCATGAACCACATGTGTGTCTGAGAGATGCGAGTGGAGTGATTGAGATGAGAAAAGAAAACAGAACCTCAAAAGCAAGATACACCTTGTTTTTTCTTTTAACAACACTGTTTATGTTTGTTGATACAGCCTGCAGCTTTTTCTCCTGATCTGATCTTTCCTTTGACTCTCACCATCTGCTCGGCTCTTCTGTTTGTCTCTGTTTTGTTGGCTTACATCTCCACACAGGCCTGATTCTGATATATGAAGTAGTTAAGGAGGAGTTTTGTTCCCATCCTGTGTCAGGCAACTCATTTAAATAAATGATGGTGCTCATAAAACAATGCAGCTAATGGACATTGAGTCATTGTGCAGTTCTTTGAAATGACACCTATAAGCTTGTTTAATAAAGCACAGAATCAATTTCAAGGTAAACAAAGATGTTAAATTCATTTCTATCGTCTTTTTTGATTGATTATATTCTGCTGCAATCAGCATCATGATGAACACGCTGCTAAAACAACAAAATATCAAACTGCAGATTTTGTGGTTCGAAAAAGCAATTTCATGGGTTTATTGACCTACCCGCTGCCTTACAAAAAAACAATTTAGGGACACTTTAGCTGGAAGAACAAAGCCTCTATTTTCCGCGAACTATTTCAGGGTGTCCCACTGGCGTTAGAGGTCGAAGGCTCCTCCTCTGAAATCAATAGTAAATGGGAAAAAACTTAACCCTGAGACATCAGCTGCTGAGCGGAGGAACTGTTCGGGTGCTGGGTGAGTCACTCAAGCTCAAACAAAAGTAAACCTACCGAGACAGGATGACGAAGGGCTCGATGATTTTCTTCTAAGGAGGACTGGAACGTGCCACATGTGACAAGTTCACCTTGGACTGGGGATAATAGGATGAAATGGTCATGGTGATTCATGTGCTGGCAGAGCAGAAACATGAATCTTACAGGTTCATTGTTGGATTTAAGAAAGCTGATGCATCTGTGAGTGAGTCGGATGTGTGATTAAAAAAAGAATTAAGTCGGTAAATACCCAAATATTTTGAAATATGTGCTTTGGTTCCCAGCTTTAGGTTCACCCCCTGTGGATATTTAATCTTCTTATTCTTCTCGCCAACACAGATAATGAATAATTAATTTTTGCTGTGCTTCTAAACCCTCAAAAATCTCCAGCGTTCATCTTTTGCAGCCTCCATCCCCAAAGGGCCTGTTTTTGTACTTTGTGCTTGCTGCTTTAGAGATTTGCTCTGACCCTGCAACTCTTTCATTCTCTCCTCCCCCATCACAGAAGCTGTTTCTTTTGTCTTCTTTCTTTCTTCTTGCACACTCAAGGTTAACACAGCCCGCTCGGTTCTGTGCTTGGAGATGCAGCTCTGGCTGATGGTGTTTGTAGTAGTGGCGCGTTGGGCCAGATGCTTGGCGGTTTGCCCAAAAGATCCACGTTCTTTGAAGAGTTTGTGCACTTCAAGGATGTGAGTTGGCTGTGAACTACTGAAAAGTATCACTGCAGGTTATGTCAATCTGCAAAGTCCAATTGAAATACATGTAACATTTTAATCTTGGTTTTACTAACCAAAGCCCCTGTTACTCATGACAATGAGTGGACAATTGCAGGACATTCAGGCCCTGAAGATCCTGGGTACAGCGTACAGCATTAGGCGTATGCATAGTTTTCCATTATGCTGACTATCTTCTGTTTTAGTTTCACAAACATTTAACATATAGTATGTGGACAATGCATCTACACCTCCTCCCGTTGTACAAATGCGAAGCCAAAATACCCCAAAATGGTCGCTGACATTGCACAGGTGATGTCGTTTGGAGACGAGATATGCACAGAAGGGAACTGGCTGGTGGAACCGCAGAAATGATGCTACGCCCTTAACTTCACTGAAGCACACAATAAACAAAGAAATGGAAAATTGGAGATCCTTCATGTCCTTTTTTTTTCCCTCAAAGATTTATTTTTGAGCTTTTTGTGCCTTTGTTGGAGAGATAGGACAGAACCCGGGCCGCCCACTTGAAGGACTACAGCCTCCATACATGGGGTGCGCGCACTAACCACTGCACCACCAGCGCCCCACATCCTTCATGTCCCTTGTTTCAAAGCAGATTCTAACGGTTATGGAAAGTTTAATGACTGTATTGTTAGGTTTTGTTATGTTGTCTCTTGCCTATGCTCTGCAAACATTAAGAATGCTGCACGGAGTTGCATTTGTCCACTGAGCTGTCAATCATGAAGTTACATCAGCTTCTTTTTTTTGCAAAATATAGAACGAATAAATATAAGAACATTAATAATATATATATATAATAATATAAAAACATTATTCCAATGTGTAAATCGTTAACATGGAGGAGGCAGGGTTTATGACCTATGCTGAATCCAGTCAGCAGGGTCCGCAAAGTGGAAGCACACCTCAGGGTGGAGGAAGGCTGCGGCCGCTGGTATAGGACACAGCTTTTACTCAGTAACTTGTAAAAAAATTCAAACATAAACTGTGCAGATTACTCGTTCCTCAAGCCCTGTCGGTTTGGACGATTGTATATAACCGAGATGGAGTTCTTTTTACGGACTTACTCTTTACTCGTTTTCATTTTCAGCGATGATCCCGCTCCAACAGCGCTGCGGCGCAAAAGGGGAGAGGGAGACGCGTCTGTGTGGGAGCATAATGGTATGATAGATAAACACCCTCCCTCCCCATTCCCACAATAATGGACAAAGAGATGTTGACAAGACGAGAGTAGTGTGCCGTCGTTGTTCAGCGGACATCGGGTACGTCGCAATGTTTAATTTAAAATGTTATTAAAAAGTAACCTGAACAGGTGTACAAGTGAACTGTCGATGCTGCACTTAGCCCAATGTGTAAAAGGGAAATTTTAAATGTTCCTAATAAATAAATAAAAAAGTGTTGCATCAGGTCCCTTGACTGTACCGAAAATGTACCGACCAAAGCTTCAAAACTTGGAACTGTACCGAACCAAAAAAATGTTGTACCTACCCTACCCACTATAACAAATGTAGTTGTAGAAAACTTTACATAAAACTGAGGTCAGGGGGTGTTGGTGGCGCAGTGGTTAGTGCGCGTGCCCCATGTATGGAGGCTATAGTCGTCCAAGTGGGCGGCCCATGTTCAAATCCGACTTGTGGCTCCTTTAGTGCATGTCATTACCCGCTCTCTTGCCCTGATTTCTAA